AGGATGGGAAATACACGTGACGACATTATCTACACGGCGAGTATAGATGCGATGCGATTGTTATCGCACTTTTATAGTAGCAGACCTTTCTGTCTACTCGGCGCGTATATGAGGAATTCGTCCGTCTATGCACCAGGCTGTCTAACAGTCATGCTACCGTATTTACCAACGATTCGGTGAACATTGTCTGGCAGCAAGCATGCCAGCATATTGCGGACGGCTCCTTTCTCCTATCGCCAGTAAGCACATTTTTGTGGCACGTAAGGGAGCATGTTTCCGACAGAAAACATGCAGAAAAATCGGGTTACCTTGCATACGGACGCTGGCACACGTTCGCATGACGGGGGTCCGCATCACGACACCTATATAGTCGAGCATATCTGCAACACGCGCGCGCGACAACATAGACGCACCGGTACAGACGCCACCTACCTACTGCTGCTGCTGCTGCTGCTGCTACTGCTGCTACTACTGCTGCTGATGCTGCTGCTGCTGCTGCTGCTGCTGCTGCTGCTACTGCTACTGCTGCTGCTGCTGCTGCTGCTGCTGCTACTGCTGCTGCTGCTGCTGCTTATCTCACTCTATGCCCAGTCACACTACACGACGCACGCGCCCGCGCACTGAAATTAATCAAGAATGGAAAATAGATCAGATGCGTCGTGTGCGCCCAACTTTTTGTGCGCCCAACATGTTAAAAAATCCAACGAATGCACAGCGTGTAGCTAGCGCACGGAACGAATGGTCACGCGCGTGCCACGAGCATTGCACCGCCGCATATCAACGCACAGCCAGCGCACAGCCAACGCACATGCCAACGCACAGCCAAGCACAGGTCACTTCTGGGCATGAGCAGGGATATGGTGTTGTGAGGCACCCTCCACCCATTGGACATTAAGTGATATTTGGCCAGAGGCAAAGATGCCGCAGAGTGAGGGCAAGCTTCAGGCCAGGGTCCAGGGCCTTTCTGTATTTGTATTCTGCTTGGTGATCTCGGAACCCACTCTGGTTTAGCAGTCCGTCGAAACATCTCGGGCGAGGCATCCGCATAAAGTTCTGAAAGTCTGCCTGGTACTTCGATTACGGAGTTCAACAAGTAGCTGGTCATACAGGCCCAAAACTGTCGTACGCTACCGATCCACGGTCGGACCCAGGACCTACGTTGACCTCTTCTCTTGTCTCCTTCTCTGATGACAGGACTTGGTGAAGTGCAGTTCCATGAGGTTCTGCTGATGTTGGGAGAACCGCGATTTCGTATTGGGATTTCGCAGCTGTCGCCGGATCCTCATCTTCTTAGGTGGCTTCTTTAGACACGATTGCAGCAGGAATCCTCTGTATTCACCATGAGGGTCGAGGAGAGTGATGATGAGGGGTGCGGCGGACCCGTTTAATACCCCATGCATGGGCTAACGCTTACGTACACGCCTAGGAACACGCTAGAAGACGCTGAGGCGCGCAACAGACGTCGTTCAGCACGCGTTCAGCGCACATATTCGCTGCATGTTCTCGCGAGACATGAGTTACAAGCACGCTAGGGGTGCGATAGGTGTGCGCTAGGTGTTGCTACACCTCAGCCGACGAGCATAAACGATACCGGCGTCGTGCTCCGCGTTGGAGTCTGGCGATTGATCCCAGCGCGCTCTGACGCGTGTCTGGCGTTCCTTCTGGAGTTGTACCTTCATGCGGTTGAGCTCGCGCACAATTTTGAACATGCCTCAAAAATCCGACGCACACGCCGCGCACGAGCGAAATGGGACAAACGAATGATACGGTTGGTCCAGCGCGCTCGCGAACGAGTAACGATGCTGACGACACCCAGCGAACGGCATCGGATTGGCCAAAATTGCTGATTATTGCAGTGCGCGGGTACCGCGAAATTTATTTTCCAAACGAGTATATATAGCGAAGAATTTGCGCCTTCTGATTGGCTGCTTCGATTTGTTTGCTTTTGACAGAGAACAAACGCCGGTTATAGGACAGAGGGTTTAAATGAGGGCTGAACATAAACAAGGGTTATGGGACGCTAGATAAGTACGTTTTCTGATGTATTTACCATGAAAACGTATCTTTTCTCATTAATATAACATATAATATCACTATAATTGCAATTATTTGCAATATAACCTAAACCCTAACCCTAACCATAACCCTAACCCTTAATTAACCTACCCTAACCCTATTAAATTTAATTAACAGTAATAAATGAGATTAAATTATTAAAAAAAAGTTTTTCATTAAAATATTTAATTGTGGTAAATCAATCATGCCAAATATTTCCGTTAATGGGGAGAAAGCAATAGTTAAATGGATAAAGATAAAAAAATACAGAAACAAAAAAATAATTAAAAACCAAACGGGGATTCGAACAACGACCTTCAAAGTAACGACCGGTGTTTCTATCCACCACGGCACACAGACTATTATAAGAAAAAAGTACATGACATATGCTAAATTAAGCAAACACATGTGTGCACGCCCTGTGTTTGAACCAATCAGAAGCAGGATGAACCAATCAGAACAATCAGAAGGCGCCTAAATCCTTCTATGTTATATCGTTTGGGAAAAAAAAATTTCGCGCGCGGGCCGTGCGTCGTGATATTTGTGACTGGCGGCATCACTCTCGCTCTGCCTCTCGCTTGCCTCTCGCTCTGCCTGTCTCTTCTCTCTCTCTCTCTCTCTCTCTCTCTCTCTCTCTCTCCATCTCTCTCTCTCGCTCTCTTTCTCTCACCTCTCACTCTCGCTCTACTCTCGCTCTCCCTGTCTCTCTCGCTGCGCGCTCTCTTCTCGCTCTTCTCTCTCATCTTCTCTCTCTCTCTCTCTCTCTCTTCTCTCTCTCTCTCTCTCTACCCCTCTCTCTTTTCAGTTCACGCACGGACGCAATTCACTCCCTGCTTGGTGGTCACACTCGAACGCACAATCATACGATTTTTTGACTACGCGCCAGCACCTTAAGAGGCAAGGCTTATCGAGATGTTTTACATGAGGTGTCATTTACACCCCAACCACCGTCCGAAAAAAAAGAGAGATTGGTACACGAGATATCGCGCCGTTCATTAACATTTCTTTTGAATTATTTAAGACGTTAATGCGGCGCGGGAAGCGAGGTCTAACAGGCTGTCTAACAGGGGGTTTCCTGGCGGGCTAGCACGTACGTGTTACCCGATAGAATCGTCTGCGTGTGCGGCGTGACGCAATCATCGGCGTCGATCGCTCACTTGGACGACTCCCGCTGATCCGCCCGTAAAAGCTCCACAGCACTTGAAGCGTTTCAATAAGTGTAAGTTGTGCACAGTGCAGCCGCGAGGCAATGGCCGCGCCAGGTCTCTGTTAGCAATATTAGAGGATTTGAACGGAATTTACAGGCAACTGTCGGCAATACATAGGTGAAAGAGGAGTATAGAAACATTAAAATTTGTTAGTAAATAAATTTCGGATTTATTAGCATTATATTTTTATTTGAAACGTTTTCAAGTGCTGTGGTAACTCTTGCCGGTTTAAACATGTTTGGACGCTTTACACGATTTTTCAGCAGACTAGGGATAGAACATCGACAAAAAACCATGACTTGTTAGCACTGTCGATAGAGATGCGCTGAAATCACCCGCTGATTATTATATAGCACTACTTTTGTTAAATTGTACAAGAGGCGTTCCAGTACCCTGTGGTGTTCGCTGTACCCCCATGTGATACTAAGTACCCCGGTGGGAACCAGGGGCCTAAGCCTAAACACCGTTGTCTCTCGCACACGCAACCTGGTTATAAACTAACATGGTAACTATAAATGCTCTACCAGCCCAAGGCTATTTACAGGCAAATCATCTACACCTCTCTCCTCCTCTCTCCTCTCTCCTCTCTCCTCCCTCCTCTCCCTCTCTCCTCCCTCTCTCCGCTCTCTCTCTCTCCTCCCTCACTCTCTCTCTCTCCCTCTCTCCCTCCCTCCCTCCATCCCTGTACAACCTACATGGGTTGTAACATGTAGGTTTCTGCATGGTTTTCACCCAGGGTCCTGCATGGTTTTCAGGAATTCAGGTTCCTAGACTGATGCAAGGCCTTCAGCTTCCTACACGAGAGATTGAAGCCATCCCGGTTTTAAAATAGTGTCAGTGACCCGATGAATGCATTGTGTATCTATGTGACACGACACGATTATATTGACACTAACTTATAAAATATTCACGGAGGCAGGATAAAAGAACACCTGCTTACCGAGGGCCGCCATTACATATTGATGCTATTTTTAATCATTACTTTTCAGCACAGTACAGCAACGTGCTTTTTACCTCTGCCCAACGGAGTTGGAGGAGGTTATGTTTTCAGTCTCGTGTGCGTGTGTTCGTGTGTTAGTGTGTTCGTGTGTTCGCGCGATCGATATTAGCGCGTCAGCTAGCGCAGCGAGCCAGCGAGCGTGTACATGTGAGCGAGCAGCAGCAACGAGCGGCTGCTACGAGCGAGTGGCAGCAAGACAGCGAGCGTGTACATGTGAGCGAGCAGCAGCAACGAGCGGCTGCTACGAGCGAGCGAGCAGCAAGCCAGCAAGCCAGCGTGTACATGATGTCAGTACGCTGGCGTATATCGTGGCTTATTCGTGTGTTCGCGAGTCGTATGGCGTATGGCGTATGTCGTTGGCGGAGGTATGCACTCTTCGTCTAGTTATCATTGCAATCCGCCGCAGCGTCCCTGCACACAAATGTTGACTTCGCCACGACCCGCCATCCACGAAATTGACGCAGGTTCGAGATAGCTACAAACATGAGGCCACAGCCAGATAGAGTTCCCGCAGCTCACGTTGACGTGATATCCTTTCCCCGGTCACCGGGTTCCATCTATTACGCTTATCATTGGATAGCTTCTTAAATGCATCCGGTTACCCACGGCACACCGCGTTGCGCGTATATATACGCAATGAACGCTAGCTGGTTATGGATGCTTGCGTAGTAGCACTACCTCCAGGCAATAAAACACAACAGCATAAAACTCGCATAAACGTTATAACAGCGAATTACCTCCCATAGCATTTCGCTTTCCATGAGCGTAAAATTTCAGCGGGCGCATTATATTACGTATCCTGCGCGCATATCCATGATTAAAACGTCCGTGGAGAGTACACGTGCGCGAGTGGAGGTTAGGACACCCTGCAGCAACAACGACCAACCGTAGCGTTCGAAATTGACATTTTAGAAAATGAGTAACCATTGTTGTTAATGAGCTGTTGCATACGTACACGGTAACGTCCGGCGACACAGTCGCGCGACATTGAATGAATAGCCAATCACAGCCGTAGATAATGTTTTCATCGGCGCGTGTCAAAAACATTTAACGAAACGAAAATTAGACTGTTCAGCTGTCTTTGGATTGTAATAGCATCCGTCGAACAGACTTTTATATGTGATCCGGGAAATTAGGTTTTATAAGATCTAGGATATTTTGTCTGCAAGGCTCTCCAGCTAAAAGAAACCATTTGGCTATTCTTACAACAGAACCTTGAGATCAATGGTGACCCCATGCAACATTCAACAGTCTCGGGTTTACTAACTCAAAATGTCCGCCACTGTGCAGCGAAAAAGACGAATTTTGATATAACACCATGATTCGTGATTGTCTGCAATGTAGCTAGGGCAGGTCCCTGAGACTGCATGCTGAACGGACGGCTGGTTGTTGTCGCTACAGTGTGTCTTGACCTTTAAGTCAAGCAGAGAAAACCTACACGCAACCTTCAGGTAGATGTAAACCGAAAAACACATCGACACGAAACAGGCCGAGCTAAATACTACTAAATACTACCTCATACCAAAACATGAACGTAAGAGAAGAGCGGGATTTGATGACTGGTAATCATGTGCCATTTTCGTGACATGTGCGATTAAGCAAATTGCATGACGACTAATGACGACAGCGGCACACGCAGCTGAACTATACGTGACAAACAGCACTGTCAAGCGAGAGCGACCACAACTGATCCATGGGCTGGCTCGTAGTGATGACTGACCGTGGGAGGATTTTTAGGAATAGGTTAGGAAGTTCATAGGCTAGCTGGGAGTGATAGATATAACTGAACCAATGCATGCAGGCATCTTTTGCCAGCGACACAGACACCAGCGAAACCAATATATATAATATTATATATAAACACGCGCACACACACGCACGCACGCACGCACACACATGCACGCGCACGCACACACACACACACACNGGGGGGGGTTGATGGTTAAGCGTGCAGATTAGCCATAGACCAGCGCCCACGCATCGCAAACACTCGGTTCTCTCGTTCCACGCGCATCAAAACAATTAGCACCGCTATATGAGCACTCGTCAACGCGACACGGGATATACGAGTTCGCTCTGTCGGGTGTCGCTCGAATGCACCTCTCTAAGTGAACCCGTGTCAGAATTGCGTGACATACACGCATCGACGGTGACAAGGCAGGACAATGGAAACCCCGACTCGTGCGACAATCCTTCGCAGGTGTTCCGTTGCCATCTGGTACTGGTCACTTGTAACCGATGTCGCTCGATGACACAGCTGGCTCGTCACACGGGGCTACCGCACACTGCGCGTTGACAGGCAGCTATTGTTCTATATACGTGATGCGCGGAGTGATGAGAAAGGAATTATGAACGCCTGTGTTTGTACTCACAACGCCCAGTCGCGCAATGCACATACGAACAGAACGCAAACAGACAGGACGCACGCAAAAATGATTCAACAAGGGCGAGTGCCAGCGGTCTGCAAGCATCCAACCCCAGAAATGAGGAGAGGACGAGATGGATGCGTAAATGAATGAAAAAATATATAAATATATAATAAGAAAATATATATATACACACGCGCGCGCGCGCCGACGCGCACTGCACGCACGACACACACACACACACACACACCACACACACCACACACACACACACACCAGACACAGACACAGCTACACAGACACCAGACACAGACACCAGACACAGACACAGCACACAGCCACACAGACACCCAGAGCACTAGACACAAGACACAGCACACAAGACACACACACACACACACACACACACACACACACACACACACACACACACACACACACACACACACACACACACACACACACACACACACACACACACACGCGCGCATATATATATATATATAGCAGCTGCCAGGTGGGTGTTTCTGAAACGAGCAAATTAAACAAGAAATTTGGAGCGATGAATAGGGTTTCGAGTTTCTCATAAACGCAAAAGAACCGCTATACGTTCAAACACCGCATAAGAATATAATGAGCAAAAAAAAACGAGTTAAAAAGCCAGTTTTAATTAGTCGCAGAAGACATTGTTTTTTTACGCGAAGATTCATTTCCAAACCTGCCGCGACCGAGTGTGAACTTTATTTCAACTCATAAACCAATTCACTCGCTCTCGGTTTCGCTGTGCGGATTTCGTCACCTTCCCTCATTGACACCCGAGGAAACATTCGCACCCGCTCCCCCTTACAATTTCACCACCTTCCCTCATTGACATCCGAGGAAACATTCGCACCCGCTCCCCCTTCATATTTCGTCACCTTCCATCATTGACATCCGAGGAAACATTCGCACCCGCTCCCCCTTCATATTTCACCACCTTCCCTCATTGACATCCGAGGAAACATTCGCACCCGCTCCCCCTTCATATTTCACCACCTTCCCTCATTGCCATCCGAGGAAACATTCGCACCCGCTCCCCCTTCATATTTCACCACCTTCCCTCATTGCCATCCGAGGAAACATTCACACCAGCTCCCCCTTCATATTTCACCACCTTCCCTCATTGCCATCCGAGGAAACATTCGCACCCGCTCCC